TTTTTTTTCTTGTTTTCTTTATTGTTTTTAAGTGCTACTAAACAGATTGCATTACACAGAGTAGGGATGATTTGGTCTGATGTTTGAAGAAATGTAATGTATTACTAAAAATGTTACGCAGACTGCATAAATCTCATCACACAAGTTTCATGTCTATTTTATTTCCTGTTTTTTTGTTATTTAGGCAGAAGAAATGCATCCAGGATATTCCAAATGCAATTATGTGTATTTGGCAAAGGTAACCAAGTTCTTTTAAAAATAATGATTTTTAGACTCTGGTGTTCTTATAGTGGTCTGATTGGAAACAAAATGTTTTTTCTTTTCAGTGCTATAAAGATCTTGGCCAGAAAAACAATGCACTGAAGTACTGTGATTCTGCACTGTCAATTCTCTCAGTTACTAATGAGGTGGGTATTGAGTGTGATAACTTGTTCCCTTGTGACTGCTCCCTTTTCTTTGGCATCCATTATTGCACTGCCGGTAACAACATAATGTTTCAGTTTTTCCTCTGAACACAGAACATTCCTTTTTCCTCCGCTCTAGGTTGGCTCATTACATTTGTCTCTATCAACAGCTTTAAAAAAAATCTGTGTTTCGGGAACTGTCAGGGACTTGTCTATGTCAGAAATTGAATTGTACTCTTTGTAATTCAACCCACTTCATTAGATCATCTTGAGCATAAGCAAAACAGTTGAGTGTGTCACTCTAGCTGAAATTTTGCCCCAGACCTATGTTTTTCTTGATTGAAAGCACTCTGGATTTTTGTCCTACAGTCTCTGTCTCTGCTCCTGAAAGCCTCTGGTTGATGATTCTTGTCAAGGGCAGTATGTTAACTACAGCAGAGGCAGATTAATTATTCAAGATTGGCTTTGTCTTCAACCACAGGCCAGTTAAGGAGGCACAGTTCTTCAAGTCACATCTGCTGGCCTAGAGTTTGTTCTAAGAGATTACTAGATTTCTCTCAGGGCCCATTACAGTGTTTTAGGCCCATTAGAGCATTTTTGGTATGTGGACACAAAATTTCTACAAATATTTGAGAGATTTTAAGTTGTTTAATTTCTCGAATATGAACCAAGTCATGGCAAGAAGGTTTACTGTGTCTGATCTCATGTAGAAGCAAGTTCCATAACTGACCTATGACTAGGAACATCTTACCATCCTAGAGCATGATGAGTTCAAACTTGAGCCTTTTTAGCCTAAGGGACCCTCTCTGAGCACAGCAGATGTGGTATGGAGAAAGAGAGGTGATTCCTGAGAGGAATTGGCCCCATCCCATTTAATTCTTTGAAGTTAAGGAAAAAGACCATTAAATAACTCTGTAACTTGATTGACAATAAATGCTGTGTGTGGAGCACTAACATGTTTATGTCAAGTGTTCCTGCTGGGAAGAAAGACCCCTGCATGCCTCACCAGCCACTGCTCCTGGGTGGCCTAATTTCTGGCCCCAGTTATAGTATGTACCAATCATAAATTAAGTAATCATTGCTTAAGTTCAGTGTTTCTTTAAATATGTATTGATACTGATATGACATTAACAACTATTTAATTCTTTATTCTTTACTTACTGTTAAAATATACCTTCAGCTTGCCTATTACAGAACATAGTAAAGGCTGCTATAAATTATCTGTTTAATATCCCATCACATTTCTGAAGTATCAGCAGACCTGAGAAGAAGGAACACACAGGTGAGGGATAGTTGTATGTATTCTGGCAAGCAGGATGGTGATAAGAACAAGAATTACACTGATTTGTATAATCAGAAGAGTGAGTGTCAAATGGGCCCAAAAAATCTTCTGTCCATCTGAAGAGGACAAGATGATTTGACCTCTCCTGTTTTGGCTAATTCTATAGATATCACAGATTTGTCTCCTTTTTCTTGTTTACTTGTGATGTGTTTTGAATTAAGTTTAGAAAAAAAAGAGACTAGAATATGTCATTAGGGCAGTATGGCATTCTTCCAGAAGACTATGGCATTAGGGCAGTAATATGTAATTCAATTTAAAAAAAAACAACCAAGCACTCAGCACAGGGTAAAAAAAACCAAGTGCACACTGAAAGAAATTACTGTGTAATGGAGATCTGGAACATGAACTCTGCTGTTGCTGACTGTTACCTCAAATCCCATCTGAATTCAAATATTACATGTTGTTTTGGTTATTGTGTTACAGAAAGACTGTTACTGTTTTTTGGGAAAATATTTTGGAAGTGAAGTGGCTCAGGGCTTGGAGCTGTATATAGGAATAACTTATAGTGAGATTAGTTTAAGAGGGGGAAGAGACTGTAATAAGACTGAAGAGGCATTGGGGAGAGAGTAATAAACAGATGCTAATATGCACTTTATTAGTGCCTGAATTGACTGCAGTACTGTAGAAGATGGGGTTTGTGGTCTTAAAAAAACGCACAGGTTAGCAGCAGTGTGAGGATTTCTTTCCATTTGCCACAGCTCAGGATCTCAAGGTTGTCAGCAGTATGGTGTTTTGTCACAGTCATGTGAAACCCATCATTCCCAAGTGCAATCAATAGTTTGTCATATGAGTTTTCTCTTTCTTCAAGCAGGGGAACTCCTTTATTGTTTTTAAATTTTGGCTTCTAGTGCAAAACATGTATTTGTATAAAGGCATGAAATCAGGAGCAGACTGAGAGACGAAGTTGCTGGAAAGGTGCCACATTGAAGAAATGTATACTATTTCATGATAAAAATCATCCCACAGAAGAATTATCATAGACAACGGTTTACTTTTTATTGCTTCTGAGCATCCACAGTTTCCAGTTACTTCTGGGAACCAGAGGTGCTTGGCATCAGTAAAGTAGCCCATAGCTCATTTTAATCCTCAGGTCAAATTCTCAGCTGCTGTAACTCAGGACACTTCTTTGACACTTTTTCTAGGATTCATTTCACATAACATTTTGAGTTAAGTGATATTATTTTTGTCTTGAGTGTTATGTCACATCCAAATATCCCTTCTGTGCATTTGTTCTACCATTTATAGAGTTTGTTTTAATTCAAGGGGTAAAGGGGCTTCCAAACATAGGTAATTCTTGTTAAAGGAAAAAAAATCAGATAGCCTGATTAATCAGATTATTAGTTTCAAACCTAATCTGAATCTTAAAAAGGATACAGAGAAATTACAAAAAAAGAAACAAGTTATGATTGAGTTCTGTACATTAAGAGTTACAGGAGGATTTTTTAAAAGAGGACAGTTTTTAAAAATAGCTTGGCACATTTTTAACTTATCAGTCTATGCATTCTTTTTATTTTAAAAGGAAGTATGTGAGATTTGGTTCAAATTACATCTGGAAAAACATAGCTGATATTACAGTGCAACTTTAAAGACCTGTCTCTATCCTTTATAAACAAAAAACCTCCAATGAATCATACAGTCCTTCCTTGGCCATAAATAGTGTAGAGTGGTACTTCACTGCTGGAGGTGCATGGGACATGAAATTGTCCAGTTTTTCCTCTGGTTGCTACCCAGGTGGATAACCTCAGGGTCCTGGGAAACATTTGCCCCTTCAGTAAAAGAGATCCGAATGTTCAGGGCTGCTGTGAGGTATTGTTAAGTGCTTAACAGCTGCTCTGTTCTGCTAGAGGATGTTGCTTTACCCTTACTGAGACTCATTTTGTAGTGTGCTCAAAGTCTTGCTGAGTATGACTATGTGAAGGGCTCTTGAAACCAGATGTGGTGGACTATTGTGATGGAATAAAATTACTTTTTTAAATTTGAAGATAAATATGTAATTTAATTTTGAAATCATGAGCATTTGTCTTGCACGCAGAAAGACAGAACAGGTGGGGGGGGGGTGTGTGTGTGGGTGTGTCTTTGGTTAAACACGTGGTCCTTTGCTTGTAAGGGGAATAAGACCCTAATTTGTTGTTTATAATAAAGATTGTTAGAAGTTTTCAGTGCTGGAACTCCTAGAATTTCAAGTCTCAATGTAGAATTATGAAGTATAATAGTCACAGAATTTTTCTTGTGTCTGGAGACAAGCATGAGCATGACAATGAACTCTGTGCTTGTAGGACCAGTAAGCTCACCACAAAGGAGTTAACAGCCTGACACAGAAGAGATTAAAATTTCAAGGTTCTAGTCTCTACTACATTTTTTAAAAAAATTAATCTCAAAAGCAGCAGTTGCGTTACAAAAAGCATAGTCTTGGAAGAGATGAAGACAGGAAAACAGGAAAAGTGCAAAGGAAATCTATTTCCACTGAGTTGCTGAAAGTATTACTTAAAATATAGATAAAAACTTGCCCAAGGCTAAGAAAGTGTTTTACTAAATTATTGGTGATTTTGTGCACTCCATCCTTCTCAGTAATTAGAAATGATGGCAATTCAGAATTGAAATTAACAAGTGGGAGAGATTTAGACTTTACAGAAATTCATTATTATGACATTATCTTCTTACAGGTGGAGAATGGCAGGAAGCAGAGACTTGTTAAAGACTCTGCCTTCAGCCTCAGTGACATCTGAAACTCATGTAGAGGAGGTGATAAATGTAATCAAGCATAAGCAGCAGTAATGGCTGTATTTTTACACAACAATGCAGCTGCTTAGCTCATGCTCATACAGTTTTCTTATATTTTTTTGTACAATATCATAATTGATTTCCCTGTCTATTAATTACATTTTTAATATTGTTTATAAGGAAAAATGTGGGGATTGCAGAGAGATGGAAGAGAGGTCAGAGTATAAATTTCATCAGCCATCAGCTGTTCCATTCCAACAGACCATTTGTCTGTCTGGATTTTCAAGTTTTTCCAAAAAACACCCACTCCAGCAGCCATGGATTGATAGTGGTATGAGCAGACCTTCTTGTGATATTCCAAGAGATTTTATGTGAAGCTGCTATTGTAATCTATCCTTCTAAATAAGATTTTGAGGAGAAAAAAGTAATTTACTTTTGCTTTTAAAGTGAAGATTACAAATTAAGACTTGTTTTTGAAAAAAAATTACCAATTTAAACTGAGTAATTTGGGCTAAACTTATAAAAGTGTTTTTGTTTTCTCATCAACCAGAATATTTTCTTTCCACATCTTCAGCTCAGTACAAAATACCTTGCTTTTCAGAGAATATTTGTTGCTTTAGATTATTTTGCACATTTGTCCTCCAAATGGCCAGCAAAAATTAATGATGCTTCAATTGAAAAATAATGGAAGTGTTCAGATTTGTGTTCATTTTAAATTCTAGGCTATTGTTTTCCTGATAGTACTGTTTGTGGAGTTGAACAAGAATTTCCTAATAGCTACCACCAACTCAAAGCTAAAATATTTTTGAAGTGTGCTGAAAAAAACTATTCTTTAATTAGTGGTTTTGTATACAATGAATGTGACCGTTTCGAGCTGAGGGAATACCCTTTTAAAAAACTCATTATAAAGAAATCAAATTTCAAACTAAAATTCTAGGGGAAAGTGAGACATTTGTGAAAGAGTTGCTAAAACAATTTGAGACTTCCTATATTTTCCATTATTTTGCACTTCAAAGAATAGTCTATTTTTCTCCATCTTAGTGATCACATCAATTTTCTATCTGCATGTTTTTAAGTCCTTGAAAAAAGGTTTGTTTGCATTGTCTGCTTATTTATTCTCTCCCTCTGAAAATGATTCCAAAAAGTGATGAAGATATTTTTTGTGGTGTCACAGCTTCATAACATAAGGATGAAGTTTATCCTGATAAATACCAAGCTTATTATATTTATGATGAAACTGACTATCACACAGTATTTGTTTTAACATCCTGTCAAAGCTAACACAGTTTTAGCATAGTTCTTAGTCCAGCAAGAATGGTCAGCAGCCAGTTCTCCAAAGTATGGAGTATGTCTCCTCCACGGGCATTCTCATGATGCAGGGGCAGAGTGGAAGAAGTATTTGCAGAAGTGGTGGTACACTCCAGGATTACAAAATTGACTGGCAAAAACCCATTTTGAATTTTTGTAGAGTAGCTGGGCCAAGTCAAACTCCTGGGATTTTGAAATATATTGTCTTGGGGGCAATATACAGGGTGAAGGAAAGCCTTGACAGGCACCTGTCTGAGGGGGCTGTAACTGGGTGTGATTGTGTTCAGGCTGTTTCAGCAGTGACAGTGCAGAAAGAAAAGCTGTAGGTCCCATAATGGGAGAGGCAGCAGCCAGGCAGAAGGAGGAGAATTTCTTTAATACCAAATGCTCCATATTGTGTACAATAGTAAAAGAAAACCAGATCATAGGTGAAAATTTAGTCTTTCAAGTCAGGAAAGAACTAGCCAATTAAAATTTTACATGACTACTAACTATTCTGAATTGTATTCTGCTGTTTTGTAATTTTTCAACAGTAGTCCTTGAATGAGCTGAGTTGTTTATTTGTGTTCTTCTGGGTGCGAAAGGGTATTGCCTGAAGTAATATCCAAAAATCTATAATTATTGACAGCTGCATATTTTAAAGCTGTGCTTGCCTTGATCCTAAAAGCCTTGAGAAGTTATGGTTAATCCCCAGAGAAGATAGTGATAATATGAAAGAACATAGAATGCACCAGCTTGTGACATACAGCAGTCATGTAGAAGGTGCACGTGGATGATGTCATTGATGTGTTACAATACCAAAGGACAAAACTCATGGTCTTATATAATTGTTAGTGCATGCTGCAGTCACACCATCTGTGAGAGTCTGTCAGAAAACCAATAAAGGATAGGATAGCATTTAGCTTTGCATGATTTATACTGTCCACAAGAGCTATTGCTCTCTAACAACCTTTGTGCATGTTTGGGAGTCTTTTCTGCTACAGTCCAGGATTTCTCCTGGAGCTGTGAGGGAATTATACAGCTGTACCCAAAAGCAGGAATGTCTCTCAGCACCTCATTGCTGTTACTGCATATCAGAGTACGGCTTCGGACCACCCTTGCAGCCCAGCTCATTGAATATACCATGCTGCCCTGCTGACTTCAGTGAAACCCTACAGGATGCATGTCAGCTTGGGATTTGGCAATGGTTGCACACAATTATGTTTTCCTTGGCTGGTATGACCATTTTAGTTGTGGTCATGGGGCTGTATCATTCTCTGTTGACAGTTGGGACTTTGTCAACAAGTGCACACATGTGCAGTGCCTGGGTTGAGTGTATTAGCACATAAGGAAATAATTAGCAGAGATGGAAGGTAAAATCATTATCTTTCTGTCTTGCTTTAATTATAATTTAATTTTTACATGCACATTTATATGTGTAACTCTCCATGTATATGTATCAGTAAATTTTTTTTTCAGCAAAAGTGAACTGTCAAAATGTGGACTACTTCCAGTTAAGCCAACATTCCCTTTTTCCCACCAGCTCTCTCTTCTTTCTTGCCCTTGTTTTCAACTCTCTCTCTCCCCTTGTTCTGTCCCTGGCCTCCCAGGTCTTTTTTTCCTGTGCATATCCCCTGTGAATGATGAAACATAAAAGTAAGGCAACAAAATAGGAATAAGGCAAAATACAGTCCCTGACCGTGTTATTTGAATACATTTTGTGTAGCAGTTTGCAGAACATTTTGAACTCATATTCAACTCTGAAAATGATATAAGGAGTGTTAAATAAATATAAGCCTTGACAATAGAAAGATGAGGCTGAAAATGGCTGTGTGTTCAGTCAGTGCTGAGTTTAGCCTCAGGGTGAACAAATGGGACTAATGCAAGTATATTGCATTCCTTCTACAACTTGCACCTCTTCTTCTGCTTGCCACACTCTAAAAGAGAAACTGGGAAAAAAAGAAAAAAAATAATAATAAAAAAAAGCTAACTTTATTGTTCATTTCCAGAAAGCCACAGACCCAGAAATCAACAAGGAGGAGAGTTGGCCCAACACAGGATTTATGGCTTTTTCTTTCCATTCGCAGCCAAGCTTTGGGCAATAATAGAGTTTTCACCCTAAAAACCAGAAACTAGTACACTGAACAGAATTGTGGCTTCTCTCTCCTTTTAGCATGACACACCTTTTGTCTGGATGGACTCTCTCCAAAGGTGGCATAATAGTTCCCTTAACTGACCATTCTCAGCTTTGTTTTTAATGCCATTACTGATTTTTTTCAATGCTTTTGCTTATTGACTGGAAGCTGCTTGCTCAATTAATGCAACCCATTGAACAGTTTGCAACAATAATTCCTGCTTTAACTGATGTAGTTCTGTTTAGAACTGGCAAACCAGAGATAGAACACTTTGCATGTTTGCAGATTCTTCTCCAGGCAGTTCTTAGAACAATTTTGGGTTTTGTTCCATTCTTTTTTCTAAGCCCAGAGGAAGATTCAGTGAAGATTGCCCAATGTTTTCTAGACCTTTGCGACTTGTACAGCTCATTGCCCAATATAATTCTTTACTTCTAAAGAGACAATTATCCAAAGTTGATTGGAGATTTATTTTTAAAATGCTGTATCCTGCAAAATGAGTAGAGAATCCCATCAACTCATGAAATGCTGAACACTATTCAGATTTGAGAAAACCTGCACCTTTATAATCTTCAACTTAGAAAAATGTCATAAGAGTACAACCAGATACAATTAAGATACCATATACAATTTTCCATTTCTTATTAGCATGGGACAATATCTGGCTTTTTACTTTTTTTATGGAGTTTAGAATAGTTTTTACAAGTTGACTACAGTCAATACAGAAAAGAGTGTATTTTCCCTGAATTAAAGGAAAATTTTGAGGTTTTCAATTTTTGTTTAAAGCAATGGCCTGGTGCTCCAGAGAGCCTGTATTGACATGGAGTTTAAGGGGTGCTCAATGCTGTATGACATTTCCTTCTGTTAGAGTATTTTGGCAAGAGCTTTCTGGCTTTGCAGTGTGTGCCTTTAAAGGCCTCTGATAAATGATTAGGCAGATAGTTTAGCCTATTGTTGCCAGTAGGAGTAAGGCAGTAACTCCAAGAGAAGTGTCCAGCTAATTTATTAATGCCTTAATCCAGACCAATAATATGATGTAGTTTGACATGTCTGGCATATGGTTTCTATTATCTCAATATTCTTCTCTGTTCCTCCATGACATTATAGACAACTAACCAAAATAAAGAGAAGCAGGAATTTCTTCACCCATAAAATATATTCTAAAATGTTCTGCATTTTGTTCCAGCTATTTGGTTGATTGAGTAATGAAGTGAATCTTGAAATCTAGTGGTTACTTCACTGACTGTCTACAGTATTTTCCTTCAGACTATCCCGTGGCATTATCATTACTGGCCCCTGTCATTAGAAATACTTACACAAAATCAGTGATGTGCAGGCACTTTTCATTTGAACTGTTAAATATCCATGGGTGCATATGTTGGGTGTTTGCACCCTTATGAGCTTTCAGGCATGAGGTGGTGACATTTTAGAAATGTGATTTTAAACCAAAGTGCATTTTGCAAGCTAGTAGTTTTGCAGCAGCAGCTAAAGGAAGCAGGGGACATTTAAAAATAAGTAGAATAATGGAGTTTTTGTACTGTGGTTACATGCCTATATGCATGTGCCCCTTTCCAAGCAGATTATGCATGGAATAGCCAAAACATATTGGGTACCTGTGAGACAGTCTTAGGCCTGGCTTAGGTTAAAAGCCCAATGCAAAGTGTGCACTTAAAACATTGGCCTAAAAGGAGCCTTTTCCTGCTGCCCTAGGAGTATAGTGTAGTGTTGGCTCTGAGCACAGCAGGTCACCTGCCTCTTGCTCCCACATTGGCCCCACTCTACCCTGAGCCCAGTAGCATAGGCAGAGCCCAGCCTGCAAGATACTGAGGGTGCATCAGCCCATGGTGTCTATTACAGGTAGGTATGGCTGTGTGCACTGAAACCACAGTCTAACCTGTGTCATTCATTACATTTCCCAATGTTTTCTTCTTAGTTGTATAATAAATCATTAGCAAACATCACAGAACACCTTTAGAGAAATTGCATGTGGTCAGGATGCAAGATTACATCAGGTATAAGGCAAGGCAATATTTTATGTGAAGTACACCAATAAAAATTATATCCCAAGCCGAAGGGCTTACTGGTCTGCTGAGAAGGCTATTTGTGGGCTTACATTTTAGTGCTTTAACAGAGCTGTAAAGGGAGGCCACCATCTGGCTCTTGTTTTCACTTCAAACTTTATTTTTGTATTCACTGATAAATTAACCTACTATGCAGTCTTTATATTTTGTGGCTGTTGCAGTTGTGTGTTATGTCTGTTGTTAGTAAAGAAATGTGGATAGACACGTATTAGGCAAATGAAGGGATTTATCCTCCCTGAATTGATGCATGGTTGTCTGTTTCTTTCAGGATAAAGAGGCCCAGAAAGACTTAGAGGCTTTACTTCTTACACTGAAGCTCTGATACTGCGTACTTCTAAGTCTTCATGCTGTAATAAAATTGTAAAACTAAAATGAGACTGGAAACTGTGGGTAAATTTCAGCTAAGTCAATGGAAAAACAGTCATTGATTTTGGTTGACTTTGATCATGGCCTTTAAGTGTCTGGCAATTATGGTATTAAAATAATACATTCATTTTTGATTATTTATAATCTTGTACTGAAGTTTAATTTTAGATTTCTGACACTGTGAGTCTGATTCTCTGAACATGAAGTCCACTTCTGGCAATGGACTTTCAGGGGGTTTGAATGCAAAAGGAATAAATCTCACTCTTTGAAAGATGACTCAACATCTAGTACGTGATGCCAGCATAGTACTGCGTGTAGCATAAACAAAGAAATGTTTCTATAGTAAATTATATTTATATCAACTAATTTACACAGATGTGTACAGAAGAAAATAATGAATATTTATGTTTACACATTTCTCTACTCTTGAAAAAATTACAGTCTTGTTTAAGTTAAACAAAGCTGTTGCCACAACGAAACTCTTTTTACTTTAAACCTATTGTTGGTTTTACAAAGCAATGTGAAAATTTTATAAATTCAATATTATAATTTATTTGTAACATCAAGTATGATATTATAAATAGGGCCAATTAGATAAAATGGTTTAGATTAATCTATTACAGCTGTGATATTTAATGGATTTGTATCAGGACCTCCAGCAAGTTTGTGACGTCTGGCTCTCTGTCTTCAATTTGAAGCATTGCCTAATGTGATTTCATCAGAGTGTCTTTGAAGACCCTAGTGCAGCATGTGACCATCACTAACCTTTTATATCATCTATATAACATAACCTGTACATAGACTACTAAAGACCTACTACTTCTGAGTGTGTTGGACAACAGTGTTTTCAATAAAATGTAGCAGATAGGGAAAGAATTTCTATTCACCACTGGAGTGATCCAGAATACACCAGAGTCTGTAGAAGAAGAGAGGCCAGGTTTTTTTTAATTCATGATCTTAATCTCAATGCAGGGAGTGTATATTGAAGAAGTAGGCATTTCTGTTAAAGAACATAGAATTGAGTAAGGACAACTATATGTTTCCTTGATCTATTTGATGTGTAAGATAATGTGGACCACTTTTTGGCAAAGACAGGGAGATCTTCACAAATTGAAATAAGCATTTTAATTTTTTTGAATGTTCATCCTGTGGAAAAAATAGTTTCTATATGTATTTCTTTGATTTTTTTAATACATAATCTCAGAGAAAAGAGAAAATACCATGAAAGATTAATCCTAACAGTTCCTTCTATGACAGTATTGTGATTCATGCAGAGTAATTGGCTTGTGAATGGGGAAGCTGGAAAGGTGACACATCATGATTTTTATAAGGGTCTGTTGGTAGTCTGCTTTTGATGTTTTCATAGTCAATGCAGGAAGCACAGTTTAAAAGAATCTGCAAGAGTGATTTGTACTTAGGGTTGTTGTTAACAATTCAATGTCACCTAAGAAGATGTAATAAGGAGGCCTTTCCTGAAATCAATTTTATGCTAATTGATATCCTTTATAAAATAAATTGGATTATGCAATAGATACTTCAATTACAATTAATTGTTGCTGATAAAAGCTGAAAGTGTATTGGAGAAATATATTTGAACAAGAAGTTACTTAAATTAATTACTGAAATTACATGACATAAGTAGGATTTACTTTATTAAGGGCAAATATAAAGTCTTGAATTGAGGTAATTAACAGAAAGAGATTGGAGGAGACCAGGTGTATAGTAATTCTATGGAAAAGGACATGCAGATTCCAGTGAGTGAGAAGTTAATAATGGGTCAATAATGTTATGTTTTTGTGAAAAAGCAAATTTCATACTAGACTGAATAAATAAACATTCCCCTATTAAATTCACACAAAATAACCTTTTACTCTAATTAGGCCTAGTAAGTTCTAATGAGGTCTGAGCTCGTGTACTGTATCTGGTTTCAGGCACCACACTTGAGGGAGGTTGTGGTCTAACTGGAAGGAGTCTAATGCAGAGAGAGACAAGAAAGATGAGTGTGCTAGACAACATTATTTTGCATGTAAAATAAGAAAGAATTTGGTGTGTTTAGTCTGCAGGAGCAAGGACTAAAGGAGTATTCACATTTGTAAAAAGCTTTTGCAGAGAAGACAATAAAAAAAGAACCCCAAACCTTGTTCTTCGAATTCCCTATTCACAGGACAAGAGGTAATTGCCTACCTTCTGATTAGGCATTAGAAGAAAATAATCCTGATGGTAACTTTGCACAGCCCTGCAATACATTTCCTGAGAACATTATAAAATAATTTACTTAAGTTTTTTGTATAAAAGTTAAATCAGGTTTCATACATTGCCAGTGTTTAAGGCACATTCATCCTCTGGCAGAGGTTGGACTAGATGACTTCTTAAGATCCCTCCTGCCCCTGCTGTCCCTGGGGAGTGCACAACTCAGCTCCCTACAAGCCATAGGCACTCCTGCAGAGGTTCAGAGGTCTGTGGGCTGTGTCTGCACACACTGGCTCAGCATTTGGGCCCAGATTACCAAATGAGTTTGTACTCTGAAGTGTTTATCAGCATGTTTCAAGACTTGAATTTAAAGATGTACATCATGATTGCCATTGACTATTTATTTAATATAACTGTGGTTTTAATCCACAAGGTTACATTTTTAAAGAAATTTATGATTTTATAAATGAAATTACTGATCTTTCTTTTCAGCCTTCTGAATTAAGTCCATTATTCAGTTTTAATTTTTGCTTATTATTAGTGTATGTGTAGAATTACAAATTAACATCTGTGACAGAAAAGGCTGGGCTTAATTATTTAATTCAAAATTGTCTTTAGTAGTTTGCAGAAATATTAGTCACACAGATAAGAAACAGCTAAGATATTTTACGCTTTTAAAAGTTTTTGCTTTTATATACAGTATACTTATATTACATTGCTTTTATATACTGTATACATGAGCATTCTCAATTTTTTTGTTTCTGATTTCTTAATTTCAGAATTTTTAAAATTGAGGCATGTTCCCTCGATTGTTCCCTAATTGCTCCTTGGAATGAAACTTTTGCATTTAGTTTTAGGCCCAGGCTATCTGTTTTCTATGTCATACCAGCTGGAGAAAAAGCAAGCATAGCTCCAGAGGCCATATGTTTTCTTTTTTGTTTAAAATATCCACAGCAGACAGTCACTTCCGTAGTTTTGTCTCTGTGGAGGAGTTAGATTTTGTGATTCTGTATTAACCCCCTCTGGGTTTGAAGACATATGTAGAAGATGGGGCTGCAGGCTTCCTGAAGCCATGGTACCTCCTTCAATTCTTCTGCTGGGGCATCACTTGTTTGGTCTCAGCTCCAGTACATACACTGTAAATCCTCTGTGGTAATTTCTCTCTTTACATACTTGGAAAAAAAGTGAGCTCAGGGTGCCTTGACCTGGTACCAGGATTTATGTGTTTCGTTACAGTTTAAACTACTAGTTCTGCCATCTGTGAAGACTGAGGTAAGTTTTATTTCTTGTGGTGAAGTTAAGGCTTCTGTTACCAAATCCTAATCCCTTTGCAGTTGTCCCTCTGCAACACACAAAGCACGTGATACATTTTTTGTAGCGATGGCACAGACACATTGTGGAAATGGTAGCAGAAATACGCTCTCATACTACTTTGTTTAGAGCACTGTCTTTCCTTCTGCAGAGTCATGGTGAGATATGCATTTCTGTGTAGTAATATCAATACACTGACATCTGCAGTCAGTTAGAAAGCTGTTCACCAGTGGTGAGTAGCTGATGATCTAGAAAAGAAAGTGACAAGTCCTATGTCCAGTTCAATTTTAAAAAAAACCCTCACCCTACAACTCTCTTATAAGTCTGAACTGAAAAGCCAACCAACAAAATACACACCAAACACAAAAACACTGAAACCAAAGCAACAACAAAATAAATGCAGTGAAGGAATGGCTATTCAGAGATCCAGCTATGCTGAACCCAAACATAGAAGCTTGTTTGGATCTACTTATCTTCAGCCATTACTAGTTGATCACATTCTACTCGAAGTACCTAGAACTGTAGGGAGGTTTTATGAATTGCAGCAAGATTAGTGGGTTTTCTGGATTTTTCCTGGACATTCTGGAGGCTAGTCTTGTGTTCTTTCAGTGGGCACAGTCGTGCCATACACCTACTCCAAATCAGAAAGTCTTGTGATAATGTGACAAATTGCATTGCAGCATTTGTCCAGTGTAAACTCCAGGAGTGACTCTGAAGGGCCAGCATTATTATTTGCATTTTTCCCTTCTGCACATAAGATAATATTCTTATTTTCCAGCACTTTTCCTTCTTACAGGCTTCCAGGTTCCTTAGAGAAGAAACATCAAACTGTCTTGACAATACAAAAAGAAGTAAGCTTTTCTGGCCCTGTCTGTTTTTGTGTAACCCATGCATGTATGATGCTGGGAAATGAAGCATTGGAACTAAGAATGTGGAACATTATTTTTTTTTATTTTTTGGAAATATTTTACTCATTTAAATAAACAACCAGTTACTTAGAGGTATCTGTGGGATCCTTTGTGAGCTTGAATATGAACAATCTGAGCTCTGTGCTTGGTAGTGCTGCTGACCTATGATGTGGCTGTGGGGTTAATCTCCTTAGCTACATACCCAAGTTACACACACGCAAACACAGTCAGTCCACTCTTCATATGTTTTGTTTATTAAGATTAATTATGAGCTGGTTTGAATTGCTTACATGTATAAGCTAAAAACAGAGCCACACGATATTTACAGGGAATATTGTAACCTAAACATGTGTTAAGGATGTAAGGATGGATATGGATGTGCTTTTTCCAAACTTAAGTTCAGGTTTCTGATTCATGGATAAAGGTAACCAATATGGCTGTTGATATTTCAGTCTCCAGAGAGAAATTATTTTGTTTGCTGTTCAGAAAACTGTGGCAAATCAGGAGAGTGGACTCAGTGATTTACTTGCGTGTAATCTTGGAAGAGTATAATTTATGAAGAAATGAAAATTCAATTGTAAAGCTCCTGACTGTGGTTCTGAGGTAAGGATTTCTCTTTTGCAGAATGTTAGGCCAGCTTACATATTGCCCTATAAATCATATATAAAGTCTTAAAATGGTAATAAAATACATGTTTTTCAAATTAGAGCAGCAGAATATATCTAATGCAACGCATTTAAGTGCAGCAAGGGGTTCATATAGAAGCACTGCTGGAATGTGTGTTGATTTTGATACCACCAGTGTATGGGTATTGGCAGCTTCAAGCACAGCAGTGTTCCTGCTGCCTTCACCATGAATCCCTAAGCAAGAATTACCAGTGCACACTGGCACAAAAGACCATAACTGAGTGTGTGATCCCACAGTCATTTGGCATCTTCTTTGTTTTAGAAGTGTTTTTCTTACTGAAGAGTAGTTTCATGTGATTAGTCTTGTGACATTTTGGTGCCATTGAGAGCATGACAACACATCCTCTGGATATCAATGAGTCCCAGGCTTTGTGTCAGGATGAGATTTTTAAAAGTACCTGCATGACCTTGTATGACGTTTGCTTCTGTACATCCTAGTGCTCAATCCAGCTTGTTCAGCGGTGCACTGCTTTCATGCCCTTTTACAGCCAGTCCTACATGTCTGAGCAGGTTGGTTCAGGAAATGAGAGGGCAGGTATTTTCAGCTGTCATGGGAAAAATTCAGAACAATAGATCAAGGGGGAAAAAAACCCCAAACTACTGGATCTGGATCTGTATGGTTATTTGAGCAATACTTTTGATTTGTTGTCCACCATACAAGATTTCTCTGAAGATCATTAGTTAATTTTCTCGGGGAGGGGGGGTTTGTGATTACTCTAGTCTATTGCACACCACAGAATTTTTCTTCCCTCCCACTACTTGTTTCCCCATCTGAAAAAATGGGGCTGACAAGGCTTCTTTTCAACCGTGAAGATGGTTTGAAATAAAACATGTAAGAAAAACACATGGAGAACACACAGAGTAATAAGTAGTAAAGCAACCTTCACTTTTTAGGCCTCTTTTTCTCTTTGATCAGACCCAAAAAATGCTGTCAGGGAAGATAAGCCTTGGTTTCATTTCTGCTGATTCCATGCTGGTTTGGAGCAGGTGAAAAGCCCATGCAGCTCTGTCTGCAGACACTCAGTACCTGTGGCACTGAAGTGTGTGAGCAAGTGCCCCAGCTGGGGAGCAGCAGCCAGGCAGGCAGGAGAGGCAGCACACCTGGCTGAGTGATGATGACAGCGAGCCCCGATGAGATTCAGCTGGGCCCTGGCTGTGGGGAATTGGCACTTTTGGTGCCTGTGATCAGTGGCTGGGCATCCTTCGAGGATGTGCGCCGCTGCCCCGGGAGCTGTGTTGCTGCAGGAGGCTGCGGGATGGGGGCTGGGCCTGTGGGGCTGCTGGGCCTGTGGGGCTGCTGGGCCTGTGGGGCGGCTGGGCCTGTGGGGCGGCTGGCTGGAGGCGAAAGAGGGGTGGGTATGTGCCCCGTGGAGTATCCAGCTTCACCCTGCCGCGGCTGTGTCAGGGGAAGTGTGTGTGGGGTATTTGAGGTGGGTACTGTAATGGTGGGTGTTTCACAAGCCTGCGTGTCTGACTAGGGCACAGGCTGGCATTAAGTTAAAAGAGCAAATCTGGAAGGTGTCCCTTGGAGAGCTAACCAAAGGTCAACAGGATTTGGTAACTCCTGTGGGAAGGCATGTTTAATCTTGGATTTGTGCCTACTACATAAAGCTTTCTTCTGTGCGGGGCTTTGACTCCCCTCAGGCCTGCCATGAGACCTGAGGGGATGCTCCAGGGCTCTGTCACTACCTTGTGCTGTGGGGCACTGCAGCATGTGGCAAGTGATGAAGAGAAAATGCTCATTTTCTACTTTCCTTGCTTCAAAAGATGTGTTTGTTCATGTTCACCAACTTAAATTTATATGGAAAAATACAAGGCAGAAAAGAGTTCAAATGCATTGCCCATGAGCTGCTGTTTTCCTGTGGTAAGAGCTTGTTACTGTAAATGTGCACTCAAATAGAGCCAGGACACCAGTGTGAAAACACTGCTGTAGCTCGGCTTTGTGGGATAGGATGTGTTTTAACTGCCCGTAGTTCATTCCATTTCTTCCATAACTGCTTAGAGGGCTCACTTAAAATCCCCCCGAGGGCCCTGCAGGCAG